TATCTGCTTCATGATGTCATGGGTGGCTAACCTTATATTGCGATGTTTCAAAATCGTTACAAACACAATGGTTTGACTGCAATGAATGAACGAATGACCGATCTGGCAACACCATATTCCGAGAATTAACTTCTGTGTTTATCTAACACATTAGGCAGCGAGGAATTTCAGACGCCTACAGTCGTGCATAGCGACATGTCCCATACGATAAATAAGCTACAACAAGAGATACCATTGAATGTGAAGTCGCCACAAGGACTTACACTGCTAAAACGCATGGTGCAGAAAATGTATTACACTGCTAGAACACATGGTGCAGAAAATGTATGAATTTCAGGAAATTTTATTTTGGGAATCAGTGTACAAATTTTTTACAGATATTAAAATCTGTAAATTAGAATATCTGATTCTATATTCTTTCTACATTAAAAGAGCGTTCATTTCGTTCGTTTATCATAAAAAATGTAGAAATCACACCATTTTTAGAAACATGCTTACAATTTCATTGCTCTAGAAGGGCGGGCATTTAAAACTCCGTCCAGCTGCCCCTACCGGAAATTAAATGGCCCATCCGATAAAGGTTAAAAAGCTCCTGCATAGAATAAAACAGTTTTGTAAGAAACAACTTTTTCATTTATTTTTAAAAACTTTATAATTTTCTGTTCTTTTTAATTCAAGGGGCAAGCTGTTATGTATTTTAATTCCCATGTTAATTATCTTGATGGCGGATATGTAAGTTTGGGCCACATCTCTGAAAACCTGTTTATTTTTTATAGGTTCTGACCAAGGCATATTTTGATGATGAGAGAGGTGACCCATATGTTACTCTAGATGGTCCATATCACTGTCTTGAAATGCTTCTGGAAGCTGACATCATCACTCGACATCCACATGATTTCAAGAAGTTTCGGCTCACGAACCTCCTTCAATAAGAAACTCATGTATGATCTTCCACCTGACATTCAGTAACACAGATGAAAAGTTCTGTGAGCTGTCTGGAATTTCCTGTAAATCCTGACAGTATGAATTTCAAATTATCTGATGTTTTGTAAGAGAAAAATCATTCAGAGTACAATTTTTCTCATTGTAGTATCACGGGACTATGAAGATCAGAATCTTCTGGGGTGTAATGCAATGGAATCTTTCAGAAGTTTTATCGATGTTTTAGAGGAACATACTGTCTGTATCCTTGAAGACATTAAACATTATAGTCCCTTGTGGGATGTCGATGCTCAAAGAGACAACCACATAAAACTATAACAGATGTTTATTGCTCTTAGAATGAATATTACAGATGATTGGGGAAGCAGAACATGCCTGATGAATACTGGCGAAGGCTCCCTTTTTAGAAGACTAGTCTGAGCTAGTGATGGCAGTGATATTGTTGTCCCTGAAGAGGGCCATTTGTCGGATGCTGGGTGCGCCTGTTGGCATTCTTCCTCACAGCAACCAGGGATTATGAGCCGGCAGGATGCCGGGCAAGGACAAAGCTCTTGCAGTAGTGGGCTAGCCGGTGCTAGTGGCAGTGAAGCCGGCTGATGAGAGTTGGCAGTTGCTGGTGGAGTCAGTCTGCTGCAAGTAGACTCACTGTTCTGTTGTTCTCTTGATACAAGCCTAGTTGTAACTGATGCTAGCATACCGGAGGTCTGTATTTTTATACTTTTGTTGCTAGGTATTGCACAGACCAATGGGTGTTGGAGTTGCCATGATGAGCGCTTGCTTCAGTGGGAGGCTCACACACTGTTATGAGAACGTCACATGTACGTCTTGGAATATAGTAAATATCGCAGTATACCTTCAGTTATGTATGAATATATCTTATGGATGTGTTTGTTTCCGTTGGATTCAAACATCACATTTAGTTTGCTACATGTGCATGTGCTGTGTTATTTGTTTTTGTAGTTAAGGGTTGTAAAGCAAATATCTTCGTTCTTGGGCTAGCAGTTTATAACTCAGACCCTGAATTTTGGCAGGAACATTTTTTTTTCTTCCCCCCCCCCNAGTTCATAGACAGAATAGTAGTATGTAGCTAAGTCAATACATTTCTCTTTTTTGTCTCCTCAACTTGATAACAAGAAACACTAATTTTAATCAGGGATAAACAAAATTTTGTGTGTAAATTTATATTTAAATTGCAATAAAATGCAATATCTGTATTTCCAAGTTGGCTTTTTTGGGGACCATTCTCAGTACCACATGGAATGGAGGAATTACAAGAGTTCCTACAAAATCTTAAATGCTACATAACAAACATCAAGTTTGCTGTGGAAATAGAAGCAGTGTGCTACTGTCCTAGTACATATTGGTGATTAGTAAGGCAAATGATCTCATAAGACCTATTGTATATAGAAGACCCACCCATATGGACTTCTGCCTTCATGTAAAGTCACACCACCCATCAGACATACAGATTTAGTTCCCCTCAACCATGCCAAAACTATGTGTGACACAGGAACTAAGGGAAGTGTTTAGGCAGAACATTTATAAGCAGCAGACCTCACCAGAAACATAAGAATACGCAGAAGTGTAATTCAGTTGGGATGGCACATCACAGTTCCAGCACCTACATCATATAAAATCAATAGATTGCTGGCAGAACTTATGAAGATTATCCACACCCCTGCTAAGAAAAATGCAAACATGTTAGACCAGTGCTGTCCAACGTTCTTATGTACTCGGGCACAATTCACTGATGCCTATGGAGGTGCAGGCGCCACCACACACTACTACTGCTACTACTACTACTACTAATAATAATAATAATAATAACATTTTTCGAAAATATTTAACAGTACTCAGACGTTCAAAAATGTCTCTTGTCTTACAATTTGAATTAATATTAAAAATCGGCTCAATTATATGTGGTTATAGAGGGCACCAGAAAAATATACCACAGGCACCGCGTTGGACAGGGCTGTGTTAGACCAATGAAAGATGACTTAGAATTGAAGACATCATGAGTTTGCAGCGTGTAGGTGTGCAAATGTGTGTGTGAGACAAGATGTAAAGAAGTGCCACTGGTAGTGTGTAGTTGTTAATATATGTAAGATTTGAGGTAACATGTAGCTATTATGAATGGATTACAAGTAACAGGTTCTTCAGAAGACGTCCATATGTTTGGTTGCAGTATAAGAAACTGCGTGAAATGGTGAAGTGAGAATCCAAGAATTGGAGTGAGAAATTGTATATGTCATTGCAAAGAATCTACCATATCATTCCTATATTGGTTCCATTTTGTAAGGAAAGTAAAGTAAGTGATTGAATTATCATAATAGAGATGTAAACGTTGTAATATTCTAGGAATAGATTACATTTGTGTTCTATTTGCAGTAAACACTCTTCTTGTTAAAGGGAGGAAATATTCATGTGCTTTTGTATATGTGACACTAATAAAGAAGTGCCCTTATTTATAGATGTATGTATTATCTTTGTGTACTATCAATTTTCTATTTGTGCTTTCTAGAATAAACCTAGTGTTTAGTGTGTTTGCTGTTAATACTGTGCTACAGGTTACTGTTCCACCATAATCAGACTCCTGCTGGTAGGGCCTTTCACTGATGTACAGAAGGAAATTGCCAGTGAAGTTTGTTAAAGCAGTGTTCTGGCATGAATTTGTTAACAGTTAAAAGAGAAGCACAAAGTTGCATCTGTTATGGAGCAATGTGTCATAAAAATGTTTTCAAGACAGAATTTACAGGGCTTGGAAAATGTGGTCATTTGCAATGCCGTGAGGTACAGGTACAGTTCTGTTAAAGAAAAAAAATGGAAAGGAAGTCCCAGAGGGTGAAATCACATTAGTTAAACATAATTTCACCTTCAGAATTAATGGAAATGTCTTGAGATCTGCTACAAGAAGTATCAGAATATTCTTGTCATTATTTAAATTGTGTGTAATTGGTGTGTTTAATATCTGAAGTACAGCAGCATGTACGTCTCCAGTGATTGTTCTCTTGTGTGGCATGGTGTCTACAAGTAGAGTTCCTTCCAAATCCCTAAACATTGTTGGCATGATCTTTCTAGCTGGTGTTTATGTCTAAAACTGCTTCAGAATGGTGAACCATGAATTTTCCATTCCATGGACTGCTGTTTTGTTTCAGAACCCCAGTGCTGGATTTATGTTTAATTATAACAATTCTTGAAGGAAATGTTTCTGTATCAGCTTCATGAAGACAGAAATTCTCCCCATAAAATTGAGCCCTGCACTGCTTCTGAAGTGGCATTGACATTCTTGGAACCAGTGAGAACTGATGTTTCACTTGCCAGTCAATCATGGAGGATGCCCAGAACAGATGTTTCTGACACATTGCATTCTCAAGCAGTCTTTTAACACCTGATGCATGTCCTTCATAACCAGGCCTTCAGTTTTCTGTTACATTTGAAGACAAGCACTTACACTGTCTTTCCGGAAGACACAGGCAGGTTGATTTACACTGTCTTTGTTGGGAGTTTCAAATGGTCTGAGCTGGAATTGCACACATGAGATGCAGTGGCATGTGGGAACAGATTACAACTTGTTTCATTGCAGTATAAAGCTGACATCTGGTCTAGGTAAATTGTATATCTAGTAACCCTTGTATGTTATGTCTATGAGTACATTTTTGTAACTAACACATTAAGAGTCTTTCTCAATATTAATCTAAATTTGTGGAAATCATTTATTATGGAAGACTTAAAATGAACTGTATGTTGTTGATAATAGCTAATATATTGTCTATTAGCCCTGAATTCCGCATTAGACTTTTAACAAACTGATATGATTATTTGCACAGTAGGTATTACAAAATTAATTTCAACTTGGACGTTGCCGCCCTTCTGAAACCATACAACTTAGAACCTCACAATATGAGGTACCCATAAATACTGAGAGGAAAAATCACTGACAAGACAACATTATCTTGTAAAACTTTGAAGATAAATTTGTACAATAGTATGAAGAAATGAAAAATTGTAGGATTTGAGGTTATGAAGACTTGCATCTTTAAGTAAGTCAACCAGTGTTAGGCTTAGAACTACAAAAATACCCAAAGGCATATAATTCTTTGATTATATTTGATAAAGTTAGGGTCATTAGAATGATGTTGAATGAGTGATATAGTGCGCATGTGTTCGGCCACATAGCATTATCTCACAAGGGTCCTGATGCTGTGATTGATGGGTGTATACAGACACTAGCTTAGTCTGCCTTGCAGCTAAGTGCCGGCAGCAGCATAGAGTTGCGTTCATATCGATAATTGGTGTGTACTTTAATAATCCTAGTCTCACATTGAGTAGGGGTCTCATAAATAAGTAGATGTTTTAGGCTACATGCAATTCGAACAGTATATTTGTGTCAATATGTAGCCGCCTCAAAATATGTGCATATCGTATATTTCAGATTGTTTGTAAGTGTCTGAGGAGTGCTTCAAAAGCGGCTTTTGAGAAGCTATGTAAAGGGAAAGTTCTCGCTGTGTTCAACGAATGAAGCACCACGCCATGAAGGCGTATGTGGGGGTGGATGTATAGATCCACGTTTTCTTGACCTCTGCACTAGCTGAATGTGAGTGGTCAGCTTCACATCGCTGCCGCTTTACCTCCGAGGAAATAGCCCTCGGTACCCATTGGATAGGAGGTTGGGTGGACGATTTACTCTCAAGATGTTCCCAGAAAGCACGTGGGTATTCGTCTAGAATGTCCGTCTTGCTGTATGATTTTAGCCAAAACTGGAATGTATCGTCAGTTTGTATTAAAACTCCAGACTATCAAAATGGATCCTTTCAACAGTTCTCTAGTTATTACATGCAGTCAGACATCAAAGCTAATAAGATACACTTTTTTCGACTTTCCTTTGCGAATATGCAAAAAAATATATAGAAGGGCGTCAGCATATAATATCTAATCCTTGTCTGTCACAAAATACTAATATCTCTACAAGGCAAGAGCCAGTCAGTGCTGGTCACTGCCCCGAAATTCTCATTTAGTGGTGAATACAAGAACTCAAGAATGCGCTAATGTCGCAGGAACCGGATATTGGTTAAAGCAGTCAATTAAGTTCGTTGAAGGTGTTAAGGTGTTTACATTGCGAAGAAAGTTTGTTGGCCAAGTGTTAAGTGAATTTAAACAGCAGTAATGTGTGTTTAAACACTGAATGCTTCCACAGTTATTTACTAGATTCTGTCTATTGTAACTGTATTATCATGGAATATAATAGATCCAATTTTCATTTTAATGTGACAGTAATTACAAGTACGGTATAAATTTTTCTCTTATCATGCCCACGTTTCAAGAGTCATGTGCTGAGGTAATGTAACAAATAATTATTTAGGAATGATTAATAGTTAACGACAAAGCACTCTCAAACTAAAATGATGCTTTGAAATTAAGTGCATAATAGAAATTCATATTTGGTTCCGTTTGAACTAACGCTGAGGAATTTAGCAGTAGACAATACTGTTACAGATTTGAAATTCAGGTTTATTTTTCTGTTATACTTTGCAGCAAATTCAAGCACAGACAATCATTGTTATTCATCCTGGATCACTTTATCTTCGTATTGGTCGGGCCTCTGATCTCAATCCCCATACATTACTTCATGTTGTTGCAAGAAGACGATTGCCATCCGGAACTGTTCACCATGACACATTCCTGCCTAAACAGATTCCTAAGGTAGGATATGTGTGTACAGTATTTGGCAGTTAAGTGGCGGTTGAATGTGACCTCTTTCATTCCATCTCCATATAACTATATAGTCTTGGTTTCATTTAACTGAGATGAGAAACTTGTGATCAGCTAAGTTGCCACCAGATGTTTCCATCAGGCAAGACAATGTGTGCATTGTTTCAGTATGCTAGTTGCCATATTACTTTGAATTGAATATATTTAAATTAAAATGGGATTACTTATGAATCTTGTTATGTAATATGTGAGAGAAACCTAACACTTTAGGAGAATAGTATTATTCTTAGGTGGTGAGAATATGTTTTTTGTAGAGGTCGTATTAGCCATTAATGGCTTTTGCCTCATTGGCAAATGAATGTACCAAACATTAAGTCATTGGTTTTATGCTTTATGTGCATAGTTTTTACAGTAAACATAATGGGAACACATCATACATTTGTCATTTCTTACAACATGTTTCAGCTCATTATACTAGCATCAGACATTCACCTGTATTTGTCTGCTAGTATTCCTGCATTGGCCAGTGTTTACATATTGAAATACTGGTTTTTTATTAGTATGTAATGTATTTATTTATATAAAGGTATGTTCACCTCTGAGATTAAATAGTAAATGTTAAATAATTAAAATTAAACTTGTATAAAATGTTTCCTTATGCTTTGGATGTGTTAGTTATGCATAGAAATATCTCTTCTATTGGCATATTTCCTTGGGGTTCTTCTTGGTCTGGAATGTGAAAACATTTTTTTATGAGAATTATGGAGTTTTGTTTATATGTGAAGGGGTGTGTTTTACTTACTTTTATTAATGTACATAGTATATGAAGAAAGTTGTCTTCTGGGTTTAGGCACCGTGTATTCTTCGTTTTGGCCGACGTTTCATAGGAACGTAGCGCCTCCATCTTCANGTATATGTTTTGCTGGCGTGTAAGTATAGGATTGCATTTTTTTTTCCATGTTTGCGTTCCTGAAAATATGTGTTTCTTTAATATATATAAATGCATGATTTTGGAGTTGAACATTGATATTTGATATTAGTTATAATTGCTTCTTGCCTTGTATTTGCAAGAAGTGTTGTGTCAGTTGTAAAACTGTGTTAGGATGTCTGGTGTCTGTATCATAGTGTACATAAGATAATGACATCTGGCAGGATGGTGTTTACTTGATGATGGTTCAATTAGCTGAAACATGTAAGGAATGATGAATGTATGGTGTGTCCTTACTATCTATTGTGATGAGAGAATAAAATGAAATTTTATGCACGATATGATGCTAAAATATGATATTTCTAACATAGTGGGGAGGCCATATAAATTCATTCATCAGTCCATAAGTTGAATCTTCCAGAACACCCACCCAGCAGTTTACAGTGAAGTATTTCCAGAATGGTCTGCTCAAAACCTTATGTGAAAGTTTTCCTTTAATTACTCCTTTCTCCACTAAAATTTTGTACACTAAGTCAGCTTCATTTGCCTCAAACACTTAGACCACCACTGAGCCCCATGTACACCCCTGATCTTGTTAGAGGCCTAGAAAGAACACAGAGAAAAGTGCTAGAGCCAGAACTATCCTAGTTGAGGCCCTCCTGAAATCATTAAACTCTAACCATGCAGAACTGAAGATTTCTGTTCTGTCACTTGGTAGGAGTGTTCCCTTCCTGACCAAATTTCCTGCACATGGTTCTCTCTGACTGGCCCATAATATTTCGGCTCGACCTCAATGAACAGTGGCTAGCCAACAACCCACTCACCACCCTGCATGTGTTTCCTGTTTGAGGCCAGTAGGTACCTAACTAACTCCACGGAGCTGTGCCCTTCTTGAGAAGCCATCATTTGCCCAGATACTCTAGAATTTCCCAACATTTTATGGAACCCAGAGAGTCCTTCACTAAACCCTATTCTGAGCCAGATCAATGCAGGCCATATACCAGTATGTCCCTAGATAGTTCATCTGAAGGCCTATAATGATAGCTATCAGCTCCCTCATACCTGGTACAGCAGCACAGTGTTTGTAGTACCTCTCTTAGCTGCTCTTTATCTCCAGCCTACCATCACATGGTGAGGTGGAAATTGCTAGTCTGGGATGAAGGAATGAACTAATTGATCCCTCACCAGCCAAGGTATCCACATCCTCATTACCCTGAATTCCACTGTGACAAGGGACCCAGAGGAACTTAACCTTATTCTTACCAGACAGGAAAGCACATTGCCTGTCGACAGTCCCAGATAAGCTTTGATATTGCTGTTAGTGCTTTATGGGATTTCAACACTGCTTGGCTATCTTAGTTTGTATAGATATGTTTCCTTTGAACAGACCTTTTTTTACACTACTTTGTGTGGGCTAAAATTGCAAATGTTTATGCCTAGAACACTGTGACATGCACACCAAGCAAAATTGTAACTTCTTCCTTGATCTCACCCCACACGTGCTTGCCCCTAACCTCCCAATCCTCTGGACCCATCTGTATACCTAATTAGTCCTTTGGACTGAAGGGCCCTAGGCCAAGTCAGTATACAATATTTGTATGATGGGATCTCCATTATAATGGGAAAGCATTCAAAAAGCAATATATTTTGTTGTATCTCATCTGAAAGGCAATGTCCAGTTTAGGATCTGGGCATGACCTACATCAGATCTATCAGACCACAGTCTTACACCCCTGAGCCTGTCAGCTGAGACCCAGGCCTGAGTCTTTGCCAACAAATGAAGGTGAGAGAGATGAAGGAAAAGCTTGTGAGCAATAACAGGGGCCATTCTCACAGATTCAGTGATGTTTATGCCAGCCTCTGCAAGCAGCCAAGTTCAGCCTGAACTGTAGTAAAACCAACTCTTTGCCTCCACAAAACTGCCACACACATGAGCTGTGCTTATGGAGTTAGCTGATTTTACCAAATATTTTGTGACTGATCTCTCCCTTTCAGACAAAAGAGCTGATTCAAGAGATGGAAGATTCCAGACTTCAAGTGTCACATACACTACAATCATGCTTACAGTCTGATGGACAAAGGCGGTATGCAACACCTCCACAACAAATAGCTGCGTTTAATAGACGTTCAAATCCTGAAGTTATAAATAGTTCAGGAGGGGAGTGGATTAAACCAGAAGGGGATATTGTTGTGGGAGATGAGGTGAGGAATCTCTCATGTGGAACAGGAAATCGTATGTGAGCTAGACTGTTTCCTGCTTCGTCATTTCCATTTCATTGTAATTTTCTTGTAATCTCACTTGCTACTAAATAGCTTTGTAGTTGAATGGGCATTTTGGAATAGTCTATGAACAAACTTGACCAGAAACCAGTTGAGCAGTAAACTCATCAACCATTGTTCTGTAATGTGAAGTGTACATCATGAGGAAAGGTTAAAAATACAAAAGATTCCTTACAGTTTGGTTTCTATCAGGTTGTTACAACAGGGCATCATTGGTACATCTGTCATTAGGGCTTCTCAATTTCCAGAACATATGTTTAAGTTCATTGTGAGTTTTATCCCTCCCTCGCCTAGCAGTAGTGCTGTAAGTCTCACTGTTCATGTTTCAGGTACTGTACCTGAATGCAGGGCAGGATTTCAACATACATTTTCCTTACCAACGTGGTGATCTCTATGTTCATTCAGGTCCAGGTGGATCTCTCACTGCCGTCCTAGCGAACTTAGAAACCATATGGACTTGGGCCATCAGATACCGCCTTGAGATCCCACTTAAAGATTTGAGGGTATGTATCTTTATTTTGCTCATTAGTTAATTAATCAGCATCAGTTATCAAGGCTTTGTACACCTTTTGACATACAGTGCTGACTCACTGAAGATGAAAGAACTCTTCCCTGTAATACTAGAATAGGCCAGTGTGATCTGAATTAAATTAAACAAGAAGTTATTAATCTAGTTCTCATTGCTAACATTAGAATAAGATAACTCAATTTCTATATAATAAGATATGAAATAAAGTTTAATTCATTTGTTGATTTTTGATGTGCATACTATGGTGGTATACTGATCTAACTTAAAGTGGATATTTGACATTCAAGTAAATATTTGTCTACAAATTTTAATATCAGGATTTAAGACTAATCACAGTATTACAGTGAGTGTGACTTTTGTAATTCACAGCATTACAGAGCTGTGCTTATTGTTCCGGACATATATAATCGACAGTACCTGAAGGAACTCACAACTCTACTGCTTTGTAAAATCGGCTTTGGTGGATGCTTTCTCCTTCAGGTATGAAATCTTATACTTCAAGATACCTGTATTTAGTTAGGGTTAGGTGTATGGGCAAATAAGATAGGGAAAAGGTAAAGTCAGAATATGGTAAAAAAAAAATTGTAGCTGTGGAAGGGACTGTAGACTGTTGTGTACCTGGGGTTTGTGTTCAACAGATTGCTTTGGCGGATATAGTGTAGGCCGTCATCTGGTGGAGAAATAGCCGCTGGAAGAATGCTTGAAACAAGAGATTTATTACACACAAAATGGTAACAGTTGTACAGCAGGTTGCTGATTGATGCTTTGGAAGTGGCCAGCTTCTTACTGAACAGAATACTGTCCTCTTGACTAAACTTTGTGTCAGATCAGAGAGTGATTTAGTATTGCTCTTGGTGCAATCCAAAAGTTCCCGAAATATATTAATAAAAACTATTACATCTTACCTAGATCTTATTCTGCACCATCACCTTCAAAGTAGTCCCCTTGGGAGCTCATACACCGATCCCATTGTTTCTGCCACTTTTCAAATGCATCCTGGAAGTCTTTCTTTGTTAGGGTGTTCAGTACCGTCTGCGTTTCTGCTTGAATTTCCTCA